GCACAAAGCGCCTCAACCCTTTAATTAGCCTCGTCCTGTAAATTCGACCTTAAATCGTATCGCACACGACTAAAGTTTTCGCTCCGCTGAAACTTTTGAGTGTATTTAAAATTGTATATCTCAATCTTAGTTTGTTTTATAACTCAATATTAGGAATAGCGCTGCGGTGCGTCAATGCCGGTTCCCCAGGTTACAAATTAACTACGAGTCCTCTTTTTTACAGGTATTTTTTTGCTCTTTCCTTTGTGTTGTCTCTGTTGGCACCTATCAATTTTGTCATTTAAATTTAGTTCTATTTAGCAAAAGTTAGAATAGTAATAAGTAATATAAAATGCAGAGCAGAGGCTCGGCCCAGTTTAGTTCGAGGATCGTGGATAAATCAAAAATGGTTTCATCATTACTTCAAGATAAATATCACTATATAACATTTGTTAAAAAGATGCTATTGTCAAAACAAAAATGTCACCATGACAACCGACATTGTACCGAATGCACTGTCAGATCGCTGTTTGGAAATGATCCGCCTCCGCCCCCGCTGCCCCGCTGCCCCCTGCCTCGCTAAAAATGGTTGAATTTATTTCCATGTACATTTCTCTATAGTCAAATCAAGTATTTCTCTAAATTATCTATTTTTCTGTTGTAGATGAAACGTATTGGTTAATTTCGCTAGAAATATGATAGATTTAGCGCGAGTTAAATTCAAAATAAAAATGTATCTATTTAAGAGCGGCAGGATTCGTTAGCACATTTCAACTAAAAATAAAGTAATGACTACGTCGTCTGTGTTTGTTTACTTTCCAACACAAGTTGCTCTTTAGAGAGCTTGTACCGCCCGCCCCTGCCCCGGCCCCAGCACTCACACCCCCACCATCCCCGCGTACTCATCTCGCTGCGTCGCAACATTCCGCTGATTACTGCATCTTTTTGTCATTGTCATTTCCTTCGTCATCTGAAAAATGTAATCCACTGCTGGCGCTGGCATGTTGAATCGGATATTAAAAAAGAATCAAAATCATACCTTTTTGTTTTAAACAAATCTTATTCACCTGACACAAAGGGAGGAAGTGTTGTGAACTTCAGAGCGAGGTCTTGCAGCGCGTCACGGGTCAAGGTCGGGCGAGGTCGTGCCCTAGCCCCCACCCCCGCCTCCGCCCCCAACCTACTCGAATTATAGCAAGCAACCTTTGTGCGATTTTCACTTACCATTGCCAACTTCCTAATGCCGATATTGTAATTCAATATAAATATATTAGAAGGCGTCCAGTGATAGTTTTGACATGTAAAGAGCCAAAGTAAGGCACAGAGCCCAAATTCCATGTTTTACAAAAATAATAGGATTTAAATGTTTTAAAAGTTAAAAAATACTATTGAACATCGAACCTTTACTCGTCTCCGGACAGACTGTGTAGCGCCGGTGGTTTATGAATATTTATGTACATTGAGGCGGGATGAGTTTGTCGAGGGATTGCAGTGTTCACGACGCGACGGGTTGAAAAAACTAAATGTTTGTCGAAAACGTCGGGAGGGTTCTTTCGGGCGGCGCAATGTCGCACTTGATTGCGGATCACCTGCCGCTCCCCGCTTGTGCCCCCTCGCGCTGCCGAATATTGCATGTTTGAAAGAAGTGTAAAACGAGTGTATGTATATGTTACTGTAAACGCATATTTCGGAAGTTCTAAGATTTACCAAATAGTATGAAGAAAGAGCAATAGACGAAGTTGCGATCAAATTTTGTAATATATAGATAACTTAAAGTTAACTATAACAAAACAGCAAATATTAATAGTTTTGGTCTGAATGTACTAGTGTTGTATGTCGTGAAAACGCAGCTCAATGTGGCGCTACGGCGCTACAGTGTAGCGGCTGGAGATGTGACTTCATTATACTAAACACTGGCCAGCGCAGCGCGGGGAGCCGCCGCCGCCGCCGCCGCCGCGACCAGCTGTTGTGTTAAGTAGTCCGCACCATTAAAATAACAGATGACAAACGGTATAGGACTTACGACAGTGATTGACATATACAAAAATTTGCCACACAAAAGGTAATTTGTTACTAAGCGTAGCTAGTAGCAAAATCCGAACGACATTCAATACAAGGGTAGGAAAGGCGTGTCCTAAAATACATCGGTCTACGCCGCCGCGGTGGGCACAAACCGCCCAAAGGCATTTACTCTGTCAAAGCCCTTTTTAGCGTTATAATATTTGGTACGGAGTGCTATTCAATATAGGCTATGTAACTGCATATAACTCGGTCTGCAGACAGGCGTCGTAATAAAATTCTACTTGCTTCACGTAGTCCGGCACTACTAATCTATCTAAGGTTAAGCTAAGCTAAGCTTCTAAGAGCTATCTGAGGTAAAATGGCGGCTGCAGAGGCGGCGGTCCCCGAGGTCTCGCGCCGCCGCTGCTCTGTATGCTCTGGATGTAGGTCGCTGTGCGTCTCTAGCATTGTTTTTTAAATTACAGAGATGCAAAAGTTAATATTTGTTTTATCCCATGAATGTCTTTCGTTAAATGATTCTCTTGTTCGACTTGCAAATAGATTACTTACTTTAGTTGACGTTTCTTAATGTTACGGCTATTTTTCACAACTTTGCGTCCCCCAAGAATTTCTAAAGCATCAGTTACCTATGTGCACCAAGTGCCAAGTTTGCTGAAATGACGCCAGTCAGCTGACCACGGGATCTTGGTTGCAAACAATTTGTCTCAGAAATACACGGAATTGCTAACTGTAGAGACAACTCTGATTTAACTTTAATCAAATCCTTTTGTGATTGTGTGTTTGCAACAAAAGAAGATATTTAGGTCGCGTACGCTCGGCGCCCCGCGCCCCGCACCCCGCACCCCGTCCACCGCGCCTACAGCTCTGCACACTTTGTTGTTGCCTTTACAATAGCGGCCACTTTGTTCTTATGGTTCACTGCTTATTTATGTTGTTAATCTAATTGTTATTTATCAAACATTTTGACATACTTATTATTATCTAAAAAAAATGTTCATTCCTAAAGTTTAGAAACTATGTTATGAATACAAATTAGGTTCCAAAAGGCTAGCAGTAGGTATTTAGGGTGGGATTTGCATCTGATCGCAGACGTTTTTGTGTATGAGCATACGTCGGTACATGTATGTATGGATGTTAAGATGTGTGCGAAGTCGCACTGAGGCCGCGGCAGACGGCGCTGCGAGCCTGCCTCCGCCTCCGCCGCAAAACTTGACATTGCTACTATTCGATTGCACCATTGTCTTGTGTTTGTAATGGACGATAGGTCTTGAGTATCTATGATTTTTTTATATTTCGGGCATAATCTGTACACTGGTATAATATGTAAAAGTTATTTAAAATAAAATTTAAAATCGTACTGCCGCGTTTGGTTGTCCTCTTGGCTATGATCCTGCTGGGCTCATCTAGAGCTGTTTGTGTATGGTCGGTGCGGCTGCGTTTATACAGCCTATTGGTACGTGGTGGGGTTAGTGGGGGTGGTGGGGGTCGTTAACATACTTATTCTTCACTTGTTACATTACAAATCTCTGTGATAAAACCTCATATGTATTATTTTTCGTGTCTGTTACAGCACCGAGCGGCCAGCCGCCGCAGCAGCCGCAGCAGCCGCAGGCGGGCGGCGCGCTGCCCGCGGACGTGGACGCCGGCGTGCAACAGGTCTGTCTGTGCATTGTTATTGTTCATCTTCAGGTCGATCTGAATGTATTTCGCGTGAAACAACGTATGCCGTAGAGTAGTTGTTACCGTGGGCGGGTTGCGTGTGCGCAGATCCGGCAGTGGGTGTGCGCGCAGACGGAGGCGGCCATGCTGCGCGCGCAGCCGGTGGCGGTGGGCGACGTGGAGGACGTGCTGCACCAGCTCGACAAGCAGAAGGTAGGCAGAGTCGCAGCGCGCGGGACGCGGCTTGCTTTGCTTACTCTTTTACTGAAGAATAGCAATAATTTCAAAGAGTAAAACGGGCACCGGTACCAGGGACGGTGTAGTGTCGTCCGGCGCTCGCCACTCGCCGCCACAGGTATCGATCCTCGCAGGATCTACTCCTGATGTGAATTTAAATGAGGCCAGCGCCGCGCGAGGGCGAGGGCGAGGGCGAGGGCGAGGGCGAGGGCGAAGGCCGACGTAGGCTTTCATTGTGTTCTTTTATTGCACAGCAAGCGGCAGACAGCGCAGCGAGCCGCGCGCTCTCGTGGCCCGACGTCTGGCGTGTCTGTATGTCCGCGATTATCTTCCGCACGCCGCTACATACCTAAAAGTGCAATGCTCCCATAGATGGAGCGACTGTCGCAAACTTTCAACCGAACAACTTTAGAGAGAATCTTTGCAAAACCGAATGCCATCTATTTTCGAATTCAAGAACTAAACTGTAACGTTTTAGTGACGACATGTTGCGATAGATGGCGTGACATTGTGTACTTAATTTGTACACTGTCCTGAATATCCAATTAATTTTATCAGAAAATATATTTTAAAATGTCTTATAGTTTTAGGTGAAACTTCGTTCGACAGTTTTTTTTTTATGAAATATTAGTTTTATTTAGAATTTACAATTAACAAAGCGCTTGCCGGCGTTTGCCAACATATGAGAAAGTACCTCTACTTGTACTTGTCTCTCTTGAATGATTAAAATTTAGATACATTTCAATATTGCAATGTTTATATAAAAATAGTCGGTCCCTCGCACGGCCGTTGCCGGGCAACGCGCCGCCTCGCGACTTCAGCTCTGTTACAATAGACGGCAACAGTCATTACATTAATTGTGTAAAGAGAAATAGTAATTAAATTAACTTTTATTTTCATTGACACCTTTTCCGTTACATTCTAAAAATGTCTATTACACGGACTGCATTAGGTACACGCACTTTCTAGTTTCGCTTATTTCCCGCTCTATTAGTTGGTTGGAACAGGTAGCTGTTTTTAATATATTCGAGGTTATGGAGTGGGGGTGGGGATCGATAAGGGTGCCCCTCTCCCCCCCCCCGGCCGCGCCCGCCGCCAGTCGCGCTCCGGCTGTCAGGGGAGGCGGCTGGAATGCTACGCTACTGTTCCTTTGATTTCATAAAGTATCACAAATATATGTATCTATGTTATTAAAAAGTTAACCTCGGTATTTTTTCAATAAATTCCTGCTTTTTTATCATATGGTCGTATCACATCATTATATGACTAGCGATGTGATATGCCACAACACGTAATGAATATATTATCCAACGTCTCGCCATCGGACATCATTAGTGTGAGTTCTCTCACAACTTTTAAACATTAATGAGGGTTTTAAGATGAGCGCGCTTAGTTTGTTAGCAATTAGCGTAGTTAGCGCGCCTCGGCCCCGGCCTCGGCCCCGGCCCCGAATGGCGTGCGCTGCCCCCGCCTCCGCTGCGATACCTTGCATTGCCTTCAAATAGGATCAACTATTATAAGCGATTCGTTTGATATGGATATAACGACTTTAGATGTTCTAACTTTAAGTAGACGCCTGCAACGTGACACGATTACCGGATTATTCCCAACCGTCACCGCGCTCTGTACCCACGAGGGGACAGATGAGAATAAAAAGTTTCATACGTTCCATCTTTTGCGACAAGGGGACGGTTAGAACTTGTATAATTTCATAACTGTTCCATCTGCCACCTTATTGATTATTGTGGGACTAAAAGATGGGACGGTTGAAACTTTTTATTCTCACGTTGGGACAGAGCGGGGTGTCGGTTGGGAATAAACCGATTTGCCGCCGTATTTTCGGTTTCATTCGACTCGAACGGTAGTGAAAAGTGGCAAGGTGGAGCGTGTCGCGCGAGCCAGTGGCGAGATGAGCGGCGTGTTGCAGGGCGTGCTGCGCTCGCTGGAGCAGAAGAAGCCGCAGCTGGAGGAGCTGGTGCAGGCGGCGGGCGGGCTGCGCGCCACGGAGAACCGCCAGCAGCTGCACGGCAAAGGTCAGTGCTGCCTCTACACCGCTCTGCACCACTCTGCACATCCCGCCTTACCCCGCCTTACCCCGCCTTACCCCGCCTTGAAGACACATTTTATATTATTGTAACAATTTACTCTAGGATATGACTCAAGAAATCTCGAATAAAACTTCGGTCCTCCGAAATGTAATGTACGTCAGATTGTTAATCCAAAAAATACGTAGCAAAATTAGAATATTGTTATGGACTACCTGTAAAACGTAATATACTTTGAGAATTAAGAAAAACGTGTCAACAAAAAAGTTGTAAGGATGTGTTGACTTACGAAGGCTTCGAGCTCTCGAGCGAGGATGTGTCGCAGAACCTACTAACGCGCTATTGTGCAATCACCTAAAATGAGACACATTATTAGAAATCATTATATACCTACAAACATTCATCAATTGCGTAAGAAAATTATTTACTCTACTCTGTCAAGTATATTTAAATCATAGATCGTATTAACACAAAGTTTAAAATGTACTTAAAATTCACTTGATTCGCGATAGTTGAATGAACTGCGGCAGCTCACAACAGTTGCATAATGACACTCGCACCAATGATATGTGTATTGTGTGATTAGTATTGTACGTAAGTTGTGTTTGTATGACAATGATTCGAGACAGAAGCGCGGCTCTGCCGCAGCAATCGCCGCCTGAAACAGACGCATCGCTGTTCTAGCAGTGACAATACACAATGATGCCACAGTCATTAAGCAAGCAAACACACCTTCCGTAAATTAAAAATACATTTTTTTACGAACATATAAAATTAACACTCGTTCGGTACAGATGGGTTCTCTTCATTTGGTGGCGAACTACATATATGTTTAAAGTTTGCAGTCCTACTGTACAGATTTAATGTTGGTAAATTTATTATCCAACAAAAGAGTTTAAAATCCCTCCGTCTTAGTGCGTGTGTCTGCGAAGAGGTGTGCCGGGCAGACAGCCCTCGCTTGAAAGTCATCGGAAGTAGATTGGATTCCGGATAGTTGGATATCGCCAAAAACTCGTCGGGAATATCATTGCGTTACCATGCAGGGTTGTGTACGGGAAGCGTCAGCAGGGCAGCATCGCTAGCGTCTTTTTTTTTGACAGAACTTGACTTGGTCAATTACCAGCGACAGTGACCAAAGGGTAGGTATGAGGTAAAGGTGATTTGCGTATGTTTCACCGTGGCCGAGCGGCCGAGCGGATGGCCGTCGCCCGCCTCGTTGATAATTACGTCACAGATTTTATTATACGAGTGGGTCAAGTGTTAATAACTAGTTTGATCTAATTAACATAGTGTAACTCAGTTTACCTATTTTATCAGCAATATTCTTGTATATTTGAGCTTTATCACGGGCTTCTGGAAGTTTTTGAAAATCCGAGTGAATAAAAGCAATTTATTTATTTATCTTACACAGATTGGAGCTACCTCTTTAAGTCCGAATCTATGTTGTCATTAATCAATAAAAAAAGTGCAGAGATTCCTGTCCTATATGACGGGAACATGGCGAAAGACGAACTCTGCTTAGCTTAATTCTATATTGAAAAGTAATCTTTAAAACAAAGTCGACTCTCTACGGACTACGGAAGCGAACGAGTGTCCGTAGCGCGTAGCAGGTGGCTCTACGCCGACGTAGGGTCGTAGCGCTAAGTGCAACCTCTCGTAGGAGTGTACGAGACGAGCTAGTGATTATTGAGTTTATTGAGGTTGAATATTCACGTGGCACTTAGCTATATGTTCCGCCGAGTTTACTGTACTTGTTTTTACTTATCAGGCTAACTAATCGTTTCATTCACTCCTCGTCACGAGTGACTTAGATTAGTGTGAAGTTAGGAATTATTACGAAGGTCTTCATTTGTTTACCAAAAAGTGGGATATTAAAACAATTTTTGAATTCCTCAACAAAAGTAACAATATCTATATATCAACACCAGTCGTTGATAACAAATGCATCCGAACCGAACAGAAGGTGAATTATTAAGAAGAGGGGTAATATTTTTATGTTGTAGTCTATTTTATTGACACAATCGTACCGGCTAGGCCGCGCACCGCACCCAGCACGTGTCTGCGACGGACGCGACTCTATGAGCCACTACTTGCACCGCCACCGGCGTCTTATCTCGCACAGTGTACACACAACCGAGCTTATACTGTGTTACACTTTATTATTTCATTACACGTGGGACGGCGGAAGCAGTTGTGCCCGCGCATGTCGACATGTCAATAAAATGTATTATTGAACTATGAGCAATGAGCAGCGCGGCCGCCACGCGCGCTCTCGCCGGTTATTTCAGTTTACATACTACGCCTACTGCTGCACTATGATAACGACTTTCGCATTTCTATGTGCATGCTGTTTTTATTTAATGAATGTTATTAATAAACATACTACAACTTATTTAACGAATGAGGATTCATAGTTACGAATAGATAATATTTAAAACAACCTTGACTAGTTTATCACATAGCAATAATAAAGGTAGAAGCGTGTCGGCCCCATTCAGGCCGGCGGTAGTACGCGCGACGGCGCTGGGCGGGCGGCGTGATCGTTACGCGGGCGCGCGGGGCGGGGGGCGGCGGGGCACGGCGCGGGCGGGGCGCCCGCCGGCCAGTCGCCGCCCGCCCTCGCGCCGCTCCGCACGCGTCGGCCGCCCGGCGCGCCCGAGCTCTCGCCTCTAACTACACATATCACTGTTTACCTTAGTGTTTTTATAAGGTTCTGTTGAGCCCTGTTCTAGGCTCGCCGGTTTACCTCATCAGGACGGTGTGCGCGCCGGCTCTCGCCGCGCGACTGTTCTTCGTCATGGTGTCGGTGCAATGTTTGATGTGCAATAGAGCCATTGCATAAGTGGCTTCACATGTCACTTGCTACAAGTTGACGGGCAGTGGCCGAGCTGCGACCGCCGTCGTCGCGGTGTCAACAAACTCGTGTCATTTTGTCATCGTGACATCAATGTCAATCGATCGTTTGTGTTGAATATAAACATTTGTAAAAATGTAATCAAGGGCGTCGCGTGCTTCGTTGCAATAAACGGGCCGTTTCCGTTACTTGTATATTCATGATGTTATTTCGACAAAATTAGTTGTTTTATAAAGTCGGTGTGAGGTTCCGTGTCGGAAAGCGTTTGTGTGATCAAGATACAGAAAACTAATTTAACTGAAGTTCATTGTTTGTCTTGCTCTGTCACATGTCTGCTAAACAAAATATACACTTCCTCAAATTCACCTTCGTGTGTAGGTGACATACCAGAGTACAATCTTACCTGAAAATGAAATGACTTCTTTTCTACTTTGTCGCATCTTCACAAATACTAAAGGCAGTAGCCGACCGCTGCTTTATGCTGTATAGTTAAATTAAATTATCTTGAGAGTATTGTAACGGTTCTTTCTCAATACTTGTGCGGTTTCTTGCAGGCAGGCAGCACGCCGCTAAGAAATGGAACAATTTCTAGTTCTCTGAGAGTTAAACATAGTCTAGTGAATAAGTGTAGTTTTACTGGGTCATTTCTAGCAATATGTAAAACTTTGTCTATTCATACTTTTAAAATTAGTGTTCTCAGGTTAATAAGTAAAAATACTTGAAATCAGTAACACCAAAAGAATTTTAACACGACATGGTTAAAAAACAAGCAGAACCAAATGCTCAGATCAAATGCCGAAATAATATTAAGTTTTCTTTATTAAAAACTAGCTATTCCCACGCGGATTCATCCGCAGATATTTATAAAAACTTTATTTTATTTTGTCAATTTCTCAATTGCAAATGCCAATATGACATGACATGATCACAAATCATGGCAACTTTGCTTCCTTGATGTTAGCAGCAACTTATGGTCTCTTTCCCACATTAGGCTTTTTTTCCAAAATGTTTGCCCCCTAAGTTTAATGGCGTGACAATATGTAGCCTGAAGCGTGTCGTAAGTGTAGGGCTTTTTTTATTAAAAAAAGAATTATTCAAAAATATGCAGTAATTGCTGACATCTTAGGCAACAAAGAAGTGTGTGTTCACGCTTTATTATAATAGTATAGATAAGTATAAGTATAAAAGTAAATTAAAGTGTATTTTTATTTGTACATATTGATATTGAACAAATATTCAAACATAGACTTTTATAAGATCGCTTGTTAAATATAAAGACACTTAAATTATTTGAAAGATGGAAGAATAAATTCTGAAGTGCTCAGAGATAACTTACCTTTGTCGTCTTATTTCCGTGAAGCAGGTAAAAGAAAAATCAAATATTCATTTGATTTGGAGAACATTCGATATATTTTTTCTTTGTGTTGCTCGCGATAACTTCGTAAATAATAAATGATTCCGATAACTTCCAAGAATTTGTATTGAACTTAAATAATATTTTAGAACTGAAATTTCCAAAAGAGCGTAGATTCTCCTCAATATAATAACAGCGTATGATTTGTAAAAGCTAGATGTGTGTGTAGCTTTCCATTTGGAGTCGCAATTCAGTGTGATTTGCTTGTCACAACATATCTGAATAAGCGGAATAAATCTTAGTTTTCAGACGTTTACGATATGATCTTCTGCGCTGGCTGTTTGCCACCAGCCCGCGCCGGACATTGCATCGAGACTCGTTTGACATAAGTTTAGATAATTTATTTATTGTGTCCCTTTATAAAGGTCTATATCACTCAACATCTCGGAATATAATTTAAATTAGTCTTTATGTAGTAGGTTTTTAAGATTCAACATTCTATTGCTCTAACAACGATGACAATAATAGTAAAACGGAATTATAAGGTACTACCTTTAGCCCGCGACACCGTCCGCGTGGAATTAAAAAAGCAAGTAGCCTATATTTCGACCATCCTCTATATCTATATCTATGCCAAATTTAATTTGCAATACCATCTAAACTTTCGCATTTATAATACCAGTAAGATATATTCTCTCATTGAATATAGGCGTAATATCGTTGGAAACCGTATGTAAGAAGTACAATTTTCATAAAAGAAAATGATATGGATAACTATTACAATTCAGTACATCTTCCGAGGTGAGTCGGCTGCATACAAATTCGCTGTTTGGTTGCTTACGGCCGCCGCGAGCGGGCGGGGGTAGCTGAGCTCGGGGAGGGGCTCAGTCGCCCGAGCGCCGTACTCTTAGGTTACTTTAGTTAAAAAAATGGAATAATCCAAGAGCGTTATATTTACAGCAGTCGCTTATTCAATTTGTTTACATCACAGGTTTGACCTATAACTGGCATTTTTTTTTCAATTCAAGAAGTTACACTAAATGTTATCTCGTACTCCGCCCTCCGCCCCGCCCGACCAGTGGCGGCTACACGCTCATCTCATTCACCAATTAGCGTCTAAGACCTGACAGTGAGCACTAGCTCTCTGACATGTAAATATGTCGGTGCTTACGAATTCCATCGGATTTGGGTCACATAGCCGTACGTCACATAATTAACTTGGTGATTAACATTGCGTCGGTTAAGTGTTAACAGTCTTATGTCTCTTAGTTTTGAATTGCATATGTATATTAAAATGAAAATCGTAAAAATTATTCGTGAATTCTATGAATATAGTAGGGTTTTTAAATCGGCGAAACGCTTTCACAGTTTACTATTGAGCGACGAATGAACGATGCTAAAGCAGTCTCTTTGTGGTTGAGCTGTGCACCGATTAGAAACGGAGTAGGTCAAGTGTGGCAATGCTGATCTGGAAACGTTTATTGCGATTTAAATAGAATCAATATAGTTTTACAGCAAATGTGCATTCGATCGGTATATGAAGGTAATTCCTTCAGTTACCGTTCATATCGAAGTACATTCAAATAAGAATTGGTTGCGAGCAAATGTTGGACGAGTGGAGCCGCCGCCGACCGCTCGATACCGCCACGCAGCGTAGACGGCACCTGGAGCGCGGCCAAGTGTAGCGACCATATCACCATTTAAGTGCACTGCCAAAAAATAAGTGACAGTTTTTGTAGATATAAATGAAGTATGTATTTGTACAACATTAGATATGTTGAGGTAGGTTCCGTATGATCGTAATAAAATAGTAATTTTCAAATACTTATAGAATAAGTTGTCTGTGCCCACTGTTTCCTGCCCCTGGCGGCGATTGCATTTAACGTTACAGTATGAAGCTTGTCGGAGAACATGAGCGCGGCCTCCGACCACCGCGGAACAAAGTTTGCACATAAATCTATTTGTCCGACTCCGACCGCAGAAACTTCCGCTGCGAGACGTTCCACCGCGCTGGCTAACCGACACTCACGCCCTTGCTGTGCCGGAATCTAAACGATCTCATTTTAAACTTGTTCTCTATGAGATGTCACTTGCACTACACATTGTCATCAGTAAAATATTTTAGGCACATCTATAAAAAAAATGTCGACCACTTTCGCAAGGAAAGAGTCAGGGATGTTTCCAAATCCCTGACTCGTTAATTCGACTCCGTTTAAATAATTGTTATAACTTCATAATATGTTTATAGACATCGCCTTCTTAAAGTTTCGATGATTTGATAGCACAGGATTATAGTCAAGTCCGTTGTCAAGTTTGCAAACCAGAGTATATGAATGCTCTGTATATCATTGAATTTATTTACCAATTTTCTTAAAGTGGTTTTTCTCCTTCACTTTTCCCCGTAGGTCGTTTTCTTAATAAATCATAGCGGCGAATCTAAACCTTATCATATCGGTGGTGGGTTGATGTTAGCTTGTACAGCGCCTTTGCGAACCGTCCTGTATACTGCGGACCAGAAAATACTTTATTGTGTTAGCAAATGGAAGCGGATGATACGGCCGAGCGAGAGCTGGAACATCTTGAGTACTGTAGCGCATCGCCGCTGCCTTTACTGGGTCTCTTCCTTGTGACTTCCTGTGTAGTAACTGGTCTTAACATTTAATTAATTCATTAGTTAAGCGAGTTTTGAAAGATATGCTTGTAATTTTTTTTAATTAATTGCGACCCCGCTTGTCTACGGAATATCAAAGGAAAATTTTGATGTAATTCCGACGCTTTACGGTGCCCTTTAATTTCGTTTTTAAGTTTTAAGTTGAAAAGGTATGAACAAATATGTAGATACAAACGCGTTGATAGTCTAATGCATATTTACCGGCGCCGCGTGCGTCCTCGGTGACAACGGTGTTACATTAAATGGGCCTCCACAGTTGGTGGTGTTCAGACGCGCACTGTTTTTTGGCAGACATGTTGAACTGCAACTAAAAATCATGCAAAATTCATTGAAAGTATCTCAGAAAAATAAAAGCACGTTTCTGTATCTTGATCAAATACAAAATGTGGCAATGTTCTTTAAGAAAACATTTTTGTCCTGATGAGGTAAACTAGAGAGGGTCCGAGCAGTTTGCACAAAACCTCGCTGAAAATACAAAGGGACGCGTTTTCCTCCTGCGCTCGTTCGCTTGCCTTTATATCAAAAAATCTTCATCATAAAAGCCCTTTGACGTAATTGATTAATATTTCCTTCCAGCTCATTTTATATAAATACGGTTGTGATTCTTTTCCTAAGTTACGAATATATACATAGTTATTGTACCAGGAGCATGTTGTGAATGTGCTCTCCGCGATCGAAATCGAGACTGCGATGTTGTAGTGTTTTGATAAACGAACTATTGTGTAGTCAATTATAGTAGTCTAACGTATACAAGCGTTTTGATGTTGTTTATACTGTGACGGTCGTGATGTCGCACCTACCTCAGCAAGGCTTCGTGCCCGAGAAGATACAGGAGTACAACCTGCGCGCCAACGCCGACGCCGCGGACTCGCCGCCGCACCAGAAGATACGGAATGCACAGGACGGCACGCACAAGAAGGAGCCCAGTCAGAACGGCACCGACAAGCCGCCGGCCGCCACCGATAAGGCCAGGATAGAGGAGAAGACGAGGGGTGACGCCGGCGTCCCCGCGCGCCTCGACAACAAGAATCCTTTTTCGCCCAACTACTACCGCCATCGGCAGCAGACGGGGCACTTCGAGATGGGCCCGCGCGGGCTGGACTACTCGCCGCACCGCATGGGCGCAGAGTTTGCTGGCCGCGTGCGGGAGTTCGGTCCGCAGCGCTTGACCTCCATCCACGGACACGAGCTAACAGAGGGTCCGGGGCCGGAGCCGTTGATGCAGCGCGCACACTTCGGCAGCCAGGCGACGGAGGCCGTGTTCCGGCAGGAGTACTTCGGGCCGGCGGGCGCGTCGCCGCCGCGCGCCTCGCGCTTCTCCTCCCAGGAGTACCTGGCGGCGCCGGGCGGCGCGCGCTGGCCCGACCCGCGCGCTGACCCGCGTGCCGAGTACCGCCAGCGCCGCCGCTCGCAGCAAGACCTGCACTCACTCGGACACAGCCCGGAATCAGGTATTCTTTGCCCGCGCGACGTCACACAGCCCATGGCACATGTTTTTTTACAGAAATCATTTACCGAAATGTGACAATCGTTTCTGTAAAATCACTACGATGTTTTATAAAAAGCAGAAACGTTGCTACTCGCCTGCCGTCTGATGTCTGCAGTCTGCTCGGAGCCACAGACTTAAAGAAAATTATTATTCATGGGCGAAGTTCGCTTCACTTAATTTTTGTTTAGCAACTTTTATTTTCTTTTCTGTATTTGAGAAATGCTGCAAATTGTCTTCGGGGAGAATAATTCCACGGAAGGCAAATTATTTATTCGAAAACATATTACTATGTTATACTTTTCTCAGCCAAACAAAGTTTATAAATTTATGTACATAAAAAAAGTTTCTAGTAACATTATTTAAATTATTCGTTATTTATTTGCTCTTAAATATTCCGTGAGGACCGCGGTGTTTAGCTACCAGCTCGTTCTCATCACAAAACGTTCTCTGTCCATCTAATATCACGCCACGTAGTATGATCACCGTTACAAAGATGTGATGATGTATGGAGAAGCCGCAACAAACAGACACAACGTACCAGTAAATATTGTTTTGTTAGCTGTAGCCGTGCGAAGCGGAGATACTTCTTAATTATTTGCTTACTTCATAGGGATTTTAGGGCTTTTTATCATTGTTTTTTTTTTGTTTTATATTCCTATTATATTAACTAGCCACAAGTTGTCATTATGGTTGCATAGCAACTGTTGGGCAACTCTGAACAGGCGCAACATGCTCCAAAGAGACAGGTTGAAAATCAGCTCTGCGTGGCATTGCCCATTGACACACGCTGAGCCTGCAGCCCATTTTTTTTTAAATGTAAATTGTATTAGACTCCGTATACCTGTAAATAGGTACTCGTATATATTATGATGGCAATAAAGGGGTTTTAATCTTATTTCTCTTATTTTTTTGGCCCTGAAATATCTTGAATAATTTATTACTACGGATCATGTAGGAAATGTTAAACCGTCAGCGAGAGTGAGGCTTCTAGTGCGAGGTCCCCTCAGCTCCGGCCATAAATAATACATCAAGGACTCCTCTCCCGCTCTGTTGCTGAGAGTGAACACCAAACTATTTACATAGATTTACCTACGTTTAAAATCTTCGTCTTTTTGTATTAATCCCAACGTAAAGGTTTTTTACTTTAGGACTTTGAAAATGATTATTTATTAATACATTTTAGCTTAATTGGAGATATTGTTTTTTGATGTTTTAATAGATCAAATACAAATTATGATACTAGAAATAAAGCGACCATTACGAGCACTTTCCTTTGATTTTTTTAGACATAATCGCACAAAATTCAGAATTTATCTACAAATGCCAAACTTGACTACCGAAACTCTGCTAGAAGTAGTTTTTAGCGTACCGTTGGTGTGTGTATATTATGTTTCTATCTCTGGTCTTCCACGAACACGAACACTTAATTGCCTGAACAGTCATACTAACTGTGCAATGTTTGTTACAAGAAAGCTGTTCTTATTGCAACAACAGTTGCGGTAAGTACATCGCAAAGTTCAACATTACACACGCACAGTACTGTGGCTAACCCGATTAAGCAGCCGTGGGTCAAGTTACAGTTAGCTCACAGAGTAGCTGCGATCAGAGTGCGCGCCGACCCGGGCCCGCGATGTGTACCGGTCGCGGGCTGCTCTGTGCGCCGAGCACAATGCCTCACCTCTGAGCACTCCATTCATCAGCTAAGAGTCATTGTGCGTTTTGTTCTCACACAGAGTCGATGTGCAATTAGCCCGCGCCCATTATTACCCATAGCAAAGAAAAACTTCCACAAATGTCAAGAGATATTGCAGAATGTGGGAAGTAATGAGATTATCGAGTTATTACAAAATAACAATTAATATAACCTGGCTTCTCCGTCTGTCTGTCTGCTTGACTATCTGCTGCCGGGTGTTACTGTGCAACATGTAAAAACAGAGCTCACAATAAATTGAAGTTTATATAGCCACGTGTTGCGGCGTTTTACACTAAAACTATGTTCAATTTCGCTATCCTGCGTGCGCCGCACTCAGGATGTTTGTATTAAATAGTTAAAGCTTAGTTATTTTAGGGTGTACCGGTATTTTATGTCGTAAGTAATCGGTCATGTATGCAAACCCGCGCAACGACATAATCCTCACGGCCACGTTCAACACGCGCTAAACAAAACAACAACGAGGCGGTATGTCAATAAAACGTCAAACAACACGGCTGCAAATCGCCTCCCAATTGTTTTTGAGTCGTAAAATAATTGCCGCAATCATAAACGTTGGTTTTTGGTCGATTACGGCTTTATTGCGTTTTAATTGTTGGAAAGGCTTTTTGTTTCGGTCCGCGGGCGGCGGCGTGTCCCCGGCGGGCACGGCGACGAGCGGCGGCGAGCGGCGCGCCTTTGTCGCCGGATTGTACCAATTCATGAATCAAGTAGGCGTATCGACTTTCTGCTGTTTTTTGTACTGCCTTCATTCTATATTTACTTCACGTTGTAACTGCTGTATTGTTTTCAAATGTGTTAGATAAGATTGCTTTAAATGACGGTTCGTTCAAACTTTACTCACAGAGTGTTCGAGTAAAACTTATAAAATGTACACAATGAATTCAAGTGAGACAAACACTCAAAGTTGTTTCGTTAAAAGTCTTAGCTACAACAAGATACTTGAGCTGGACAGAAGCTGCCGGAGAAGTTAGGAACTGTTAGTGAGCCCGCTTTTGCAGGAATCGTACAAGTATTGCTATGCTGCGATCTTAGCTAAATATCACTGGCAGTATTAACTCAACTCATCACTTGGAGACATTAGTGATATGCAAGAGAACATGTAACTTAATAATAAGTTTTATAAACAAAATATAACTAAGGACGGTAATGAGATAATCTATGCAAAGGTTGCGTAAACTTCGTCTAAGTTTCATGCAGTAAACTTAAGCACTTCCGTTTTCAAATTGCAATGATTTCATCAAAGTTTTGTGATGACGGATCGCTTCGTGCGGCTGTTGGTAAACTTTATCTCTTTGTTTGGGATCGATTCGTCAAAGTTTTTCCTCTGCAAACGTTTACTTCGGGATACAGTTGTATGTGCTAGCAATCATTCAGAAAGTTTTTCTGCTTTATAGACTTTTATGAAATTCTATTTAAGTAACTAATCATTATTTATTTATATACTTTGAAATGTGCAAAATGTGACATTGGGCCCTTCGACAGTTACTCGTTTATATGTGCAATGTGTTCGGGTCGCAGGGGCGTAATACTGTAAACAAGGGGGATGATAGCTTGATGCCCGACTCACCGCCTGCAGGTGGCTGGTCTCTTTCGTTGTCAGCGCTTTCTGCGTAATTATGAATTTCTACGAAATTTGCAATGCTCGGGGTGACATGGCTGACTCCACGAAGACACCTCTTGTTTTAGACATACAAATTGTCGTAGACTTTCATCATTGGCATAAATTTGATGTTGATGACATCCGAGTTGATATTCTGTATCAATGTGTTTCCATATTTTTATACGTATGTAAATGAAATTAAAATTTAATTTTGTGTCGGTGTGTTGACCGCCGCTTTTCATTCGCATGTGATATAATCCTGCAAGCGGGCTCAGCCCTCGTGACGCGCAATTAATACGAGCTTACGGCCGCGTACACGCCGCTCTTACTAATTTAACACTCAAATATGAAAGTACACTCCTCTGACAGACCACATTATGTATTCACAATAGTTATAACACATATCAGGGATTAATACATACCGCTACTCAGTCAACTCTGTCCATTGAGTTCCGACTGCTCGCAACATCAACAATAACATCGTGACGAAAAAGGAATCAATTCTTCTTTAATATTGCTCCGAGTTGGATGCTTCCCAACTTCTATTCATGTACACTCACATACAATATTCCTAAAAAATATATTGTGTCTACCGAATGATTCTATTTAATTATTCTTGAACCGTGTCATTATTTCTTGAATAATAAAATTTCCGATTTACTTGGAATATTAAATTTAACGCATCACTTTTTCTGATGTGCTAAGTACTTTAAGTAGCCCAACCGCGTTTAGTCCGTTTACATGTATTGACTGTAGCAATCGCCAATAGCCATCGCTTTTTACATTCTCATCTTTACAACATAACAAGCTAAAAGTCTCCTGCGCGTCGCATCCTCCTGCCCTTATTGTCACGTCACGAACGACCTCGTAACATTTTAATCACGGAAGCTAAAAGTAAACTTTACCTTTTTCGTAACTATAGCTAATAATAATAAAATTATTACATTTGACTTTGACTCTCCTTAAATACATTAAAATTACTTAATCAGCTAACAGCAAGTTGCAATAAATTGTTTGTTGTTACAATAACAATAAACAAGAGCATGTCGTTGGTGACTGTACCCGCTGCGGCGGCTGAGGCGCGGACGGCGGACGCGCTCGTAAAGCACCAGCTACTTTTATTGCATTTTGTGTTTTACTGCAACCAAATTAGATTGACCGTCTGTTCTGGTTGACGTTTGTATGACACGCCGGTTGTTTTATCGTCACAAGTGGATGCTGAAGCAATGAGTATAGTAAAGACGGCAAAAGTGTGATATTTAATGTATTTTAAACATCGTTTCCGAGGCAAATGAGCGATCGATTGCAAATCAATTGGCGGCCAGTGGCAATGTTGTCCTTCACACGGTGTTTCCTTGTTCCTTCTTAAAATTGCGTGTCGCACCTCTTAATGGATTTGTAGGGAGGCTTTACACTGATGTTTTTCAAATTAACTCGTATTTCTCCAGACTTAAGGGTGGATTTAGTTTAACTAAGCCTCTTTAAATGTATGCCTCTCAACGGCGACACAAAATTCCATTTAGTTGAGGCGCTGGACCGGCAGTAAGTGGCAATTCCCGCTAAAGCGCTGTACGTTAACAAAGCTCGCCTCCGCACAGAGGTGGGCTGGTACATTTAAATACATCGCCCTTGTTAACGGGGATTATAGTATGAAACATTATATATTTTTTATTGTTCTCTTGTATCAGTGTATAGAAATAAAGTTCAGTTACGTTTGCTTAGTTGAAATAAGAACAGAGTTTTCTTTTTTAACATTATCATAAAAAAACTGTTTACGTTTAGGAGTTAGTCTCTTACTAAGTACAAATCAATCTTTATAAAAATAGTTTTGATAGCCGTACAATTAAAGTAACTTCTTTACATCCCAAAACATAATAAAATTGATATTGTGAGTTAAACGTAAATAACGATCGAAACGAATCAAAAGATGGCAATCCAGAATAAAAAACGTCGAGGGTCTGTTCCCTGCGCGGGCAGCCCCGCAGCCCCGCAGCCCGCAGCCCCGGCCAGGGCCCGCGAGGTAAATAAATTAATAGCCTTGGAGGGATACGATTGTTGAAAAGTCTCTGGGTTAGATCCCGGCATGACTGCGGGCTGAGGCGGCGTTGCGTTTGTTCCGCGGCTGTCGCTTGTCTTTTGTTTAGTAAGCCGCTCAGAGTTAGCACCGCACAGTTGATTCCTTTGTGTTTTGATAAACTTTGTATTGTTTAACTGATTCCACTTCAGTATCTATCAGTCTCATCTGATGCCTTACATTTTTATAATTAAAAATATTATTCGTTTATTAATTATTATTCAATGACTCAATGGTACTTGTCTCAATTATGGACAACTTGTTACGCTTGACTATTTTAAACAAACAGGAGAACAATAAAACAGAAGTGGCTTTATACTTAGTGATGATATGCGCAGTCCGCACTCACTAAATTACAAATAACTTTGTGTGCGTTGCATTTGGAACAAATCAATTCCACAAAAGTAAACAGTTTGGCATAACTGTGTGCCGACCGCGGCCACTCGCGAGCGTCACTACTGCTGTACACTAACATACTCCGGTAATCCATTCATTCACGCGCGCAGAATACTCTAGAACGTG